ATGGTTGAATTGATTATGAGACAACAGAGGAGTGATTCAACAAAGCATAGTGTGCCTAAGGAGAGTTACCTGGGGAGACAATAATATCTCTCATGCTTTCACAGAAAGCAACTTGGTCAAGCAGTGGCTGTGAATCATCCAGGTGGCTAACACTGACAGAAGGTCTATGGAGGTGCTATCCATAGTTCCAAGATAAACCCTAAGGAGATTTAACTGAACTTGTTGGTAAAAATTAAATTTATATTTATGTAGATGTAACTTTAACGTGGTCTTAACTAAACAGCAGAAAAGTGTCACCATGAGATGTAAAACATAATGTCATAATAATATGCTAAGCTGTAAAAGGCTCAAATCACTAACAGCTTCTGACAATTGCCAGTTGCACTGATTACTCACTACTGTTATAGACTGGACTATTGGATTGTACAGAGTTACATTTCTAAATATAAGTACCGAAAATTTTTGGACTGGCATCAAGAATGAAAGTGTCTTCTAAAGCATTCTCCAAACACAGCTCCTCCAACTGCAATGGAACACCCATCAGTCACACAACAAAACAAAACACAGAGATATGTTGGGAGCCACTAAAACTAGAAATTGGTCATATGTGTAAGAGCAGGACTAGGCTTGAGTGCCTAAAGCAGTCAAGCTACCTCAGTCCCAAGAAAAGTATCCTTCCTGATTAATGTCAGCTATTAGTCACTACGCAACCATGTGTCATATGATATGAACTTTGCAAAGGTGTAAATAAATGCCTCTGCTATTATGTGGAGGTGGATATGTGTGGGAGTGTGGGTGGTCGTGATGGTGGTAGTGTCTTGCCAATCAGGCAACAGGCCACCACCTGACCCAGCTCTTGTCATCTTGTCTATCTTTTCCTCATTCCTGCTGCCAGTTCTCCCTAGGGTACAATGGATCATATCAAGAGACCAACAGATCCTGACACATATCTTCACTTCCTTGATTTTAACCACTGTTATAGTAAATTAGATTTCTATTGGCTTCCTGAAAAGGGAACTGGGTGAAGTTCTTAAAAAAAAATATTTTCTTTAGTCCCAGGGCCTTTGCACTAAGGCTCTGCTCTGCCCCCTCAATTTTTTTTTTTTTAAACAAGATCTCACTGAGTCACTTACTTGCTCTGACAGGGTCAGAATTTGTAATCTTCCTTCAGCCTGCCAGAGTTCTGAGACTGTAGACATGTATCTCCACTCTCAGCCTTAAAATAATTTTAGTTACATGTAAACTGTAAAGAGAATAATGTGAAGAAAATCATTATTATTCAGAATTTTGAAAAAAAATCCTCTAACATTAATGCTGTCATCCCATATTATCTTGTTCCTGGTTCTCTAGAAGTGATTTTTTTTTTCTTTATGTAAGCTTTGCTGAATTTATCTTGCCTATTGTTTAAAATTTTACCATGTTATATCATGGTTTCTATCATTGTTATTTATTTTTGCTCCCAACATAGTTGACCCTTTATTTTTGTCAATTTCTGAAGCAGGTCTGGAAGTGCTTTTTCATCAGTGTCTAACTGCACTGTTGTGACTTCCTGGATACCCTGAATTGATTTAAAAAATATTATCTTCCTTGGTCCTTCTGAGTTGCGGAAACAGCCACAGTTACACAGTGCCAGCTCTGGTGCTTACCATGAGTGATGACACACTGTAATGCTTTTATCAGCCTACCTTTCCACTGGATGGCACTTGGCTGCAGCATTCACTGCATTTTTTATAACACTCCATAAAGACGCTCACCCAGCTTTCAGGATTTGCTCCATGCAATGGCAAGAGCAATGGGGTCCATGTGTGCCAACTGAGGGGTAGTGTTTCGAGGGGAATTAATGGCAATGTGTCTTCTACCATAATAAGTTAATTTCAACACTTACTGTATATATTGATCACAGTTCATATACTTATAATTCTAAAAACTAATAGTTCAACTAATCATCTCAGGGGAAGAAGACTAATTTCCCTGATATAAGCCAGTCAGATAAAGAGAACAGACTGTGACTATTCGGATAGTCTATTTTCATTTAATCCCCATTTACTGTCATACTGACCTCTGCAGCATCCAGTGTTTCCCATTCTAGAGTCTTTTAAATTTATCCTACAGATGAGAAGGAGGAAATTCCCTAGGTGGGTGAAGCACAGGCAGAGACCTGAGGTCAAACGCAATCTCACTCAGCCTCACACCTCACGCATCTTGCCTTCTGATCTGAGGTCTTTCTTGTGCTCTTTTCTGAAGTGCATCAGTGGTGCTGCCCGGTCCTCCAAGTTTCATGGAGGAGAGGCTTTACACACCAGACCTGCTGGGCCTAGGGATTGAATTTGGGGCTGACCTCCAGCTCCAAAGGGAGCTGCTCCCTGATGCGCAAGGAGAATCCCAGAGAGGGTGCAGCTGTGAGAAACCAAAGAGGGAGGACATGGGAACAGCTCTCAGCAAAGAGTGTGTTCCCTTTACTCTTGGTTTTCTTTTTCAGCTTACCTAGTTCCTTGGCAGTTATATTATACGCTGCATCAAATTTAATTTTGATGTAAACATTCTTTAAAAAAATCTCTTGAATCTTGAAGTTCTATAATTTTGTGATCTGAGGACTGAGGGCTGCATTCAGGGGATAAGATGTGTTTGGTTTCTTGGAGTGTGGTTCCACAGGCTGAGTAGTTCAGTGTGTAGCCAGCTCACATATTGTTCCGAAATGACTCGGGGTCCTCCCAGTCTGGAGAGATGAGATACTCCGGGCCTTCCACACAGCACGCTAGGGCAGGGGAGAAAGCAGGCATTTCCAAAGGAATGAATACTTTGGCAGAAGAAGAATAAAATCTCTTCTAAAAGGAAAATCAAAGTTCAAGGCTTGGTAAAATTTAGAACTAATCTTTTATGTCAACAGAGTTTCTGAAGATCCACAACTTTCTCTCGAGTCACCAAGTCTGCCACAATATGACTATTTCCACTGATGAGACATCAGCTGTAAATCACAGTAATGTGATGACCTACACATAAATTGTCTTCACTACCTGACATACATGATCTTTACTTCATAGTTGCATACTTTTAAAAATAATATTGCTCATCAGATACTATACTGTATACTATATGATAAAAGCATTTTAATTCATGAAAGAAATGCTCCTCTTTACAGTGATTTTTTTTTCTCAGAAAATATGAAAAAAGCCAAACAACACATGACTCATTACTAAAGCTCAATGTTTTCACTGCAGATTCCTGGGCAGACGTTGAGATGAGTGTTTCTCTTCTATTGCTTCCATGTTCTCTGATTCACCAAAGTTTCTCGATGTTGGCTGGTGAGGCTACATTCTCATGGCAGTACGCGAGGCTAGGAGGAATGTGACTAGAAGGATTAGACAGGGAAATACCACTCCTACATCCAGGGACTCAGCCTGCACCCTGGGTCCTGTGCTTGGAAGGTTTGCTAATCGTGATGTGTGTGCAGGCTTCTTGAGATCACATTTAAATGTGTCCTGCGACTCAGGAGATCTGGGGCAGGTCTGACAAGTGCAGGGAGAAGTGAGAAGTTCATTCTCTCTGATTAACAAGCTGCAGAACCATGCTTCTTGGGTGGCTCCATTTCATGAGGAAACATTGCATCTAAAGTGCTCTTTCTAGGGCGCATGAAGAATGGTTTCTTCACCAAGTGATCCCCTCACACCTCCTACATGGTCACGTGATGGGGTAGTGGTGTGTGCTCTTTGTGTCTGCTGGATTTCAACTGAAATCTCCCGGTAAGCCCCTCTGTGAGTGGAGGCAAACCCGTTGATCTCTTTACTTTCCACGTCTTTGTCACTGAAGTGCAAGTAAAATCAGAATGGTTTCTGTCTTCTACCAGCTTCCTATTATCACTCAATTTAATTCCCTCCTTCCCTTAGCCCAATGCTGCCTTCTTAGATAACAGCAGGTGCCTTGATCTAGGTGGAAACTGTATTTTCTGCATGTATTTGTCTTTTTGTGTTTGTGGGGTTTTGTTTGATGTTTTGCTTCATGTCACAGCCCGCTGCATGACTCTTCTTGCCTCTCTTCTCCCTGCCTTCTGGTACAGAGCCTGGCATCTGAAAGCTGTGCAGCTGATAAAGCAATGTGTAGTTGGCCTTATGGCTACGTCTGTACAATCCAGATCTCCAGGAGGCTGAGGCAGGAGGGTTGAAGTCTTGAGCACAGCCTGGGGAATGTAGTGACTTTGCTGGAGCCTGCCTCCTAGTAAAAACTGAAAATTAAAAATGTGTGCGTGCGTGCGTGCGTGTGTGTGTGTGTGTGTATGTGTGGATGTAGCTCAGTGCAGCAGCCCTTGGTTCAATCCCTGGTAACACACACATACACACACCAAAAAACAAACACAACAACAGAAAACAAATCATTGTAAGCAGCTGGTGAATAAGTAGACAAATAAGAAGTGACATTAATTTTTTTCCCATGCAAGTTTCCTCATAAAGACATTGTATTTTATTTCCCCACCTTTGATACGGGGGGTGGTTGGGGAGACTCCGGGACAACTACAATTTAAACCGTGCAACTCAAGAAAAAAACGAGATGTTACAAGGGACTGGCCCCAGTAGCTGGAAGCATAGCATTCCTTTACAGAGACTTCAGAAAGGAATGCCCACCACTTAGAACAAAGCACGAAGACCCCAGCAGAAGCTGTAGGTCCTGCGTGGTTGATCTGCCACCTCTCACACCCAGACCGGGCATCTCCTTCAAAGCCCGCCTGTGGGAGTCACTCCTGCCCCAGCCCTCAGGGGTTCCCAGCACCCCTTTCCCCTTCCCCATCTGCAGGACAGTTTTAACTGCTCCCTTTACTATCAGCCAACCCAAATATTCTCTTGTCAGTAGTTCTGGGGTCTGTACTTGGAGAAAGAAATGATTTTCTCAGATCCATGAACAGGACTTTATTTTTTAGTGTCAAAATAAACCATCTGCTTGTACAACTGTTTCTAATTACTCCCCTGCCCAGCCTCTGCGCTCCGGGCTTGGCACACGCACCCCGCCCCGAGCGCTTCGCAAGTCTTGCGGCTGCGGGCGGAGCCGAAACCTGAGCGCTGTCCGCGGGTCCCTCTGCCCGGCCACCGCGCACTCCTGCCGAGCCCGAGCCCAGCATGCGCCCCCCAAGCTTCGGGGACTTCTGGCTGCTGCTGCCGCCCCTGCTTGTCGCCGGGCTGTCGGCCGGGCCGCCGCAGAGCTTCTCGCCCTCTCTCAGGTGAGTCCCATTTGCAGCGCGGCGGTGCAGGCGGGCCGACCTGTCCCGGGAGCGGGCGACGCCTGTCCCCCGCTGAAAGCCGGCGCCCGCCTGGACCCCGGGCACGCGCTCTCCAGCCCGCTCGCCTTCCTGTGCTTCTTGTCCAGCCCGGAGTTGTTCCCTCTCTGTTCTTCTGCTTTTCCTTTGGAAAAATGCAATCAGTGCACAAAATCACCACTTCTCCCTCTGCAAACACGTCCCCGAGGAATTTCTCTCACGAGTTAAGGGGTGCGCGTACAGGTGCCCGAACGACCTCCCGGCGGACAACTGCTGCAGTGTCTCTGCTTGCCAGCCTCATCTTCCGGGCTGTATTGCGTTTCTATTACATTCAGAAGGAGAATTGGTGGTGCATTCCCACTGCTAAACTTTTCTAGAAGAGTTTATAAAGACTGCTTAGTGAAAATTAAAATAAAAGCGCTGTGTCCTATGACTATATATATATAATATATATTTACACGCTTACTATATACTGTACGCATCCTCCCTTTAAAAAATATGAACTAATCGTCTCCTGATTATCAGATGGCAATGAGACTTTCTAAAAAAGAGAACTGAGAAGTGGGACAAGTGTCGTGCTTTGTATGAATTTGTGTCTAATCTACACGTGCATTTAAGACTCGGTCCCGAACCTCGAGGCGCAAGGCTGGACCCCTCTGCCCCGGGAGGAAGTCCGGGTCACGTCCTAGGTGCTTGCATGGTGCCTGCTGGTCTGGGGAAGCTCAGGCCTTGCATGGAGTGCGTGACTCCCAGAGGACACGGACCTCGCGCCTGCTCTCGGTGGGATTGAACCTCTGCACGCGGGAGTGGGGACACAAGGGCTGCAAAAGGGGCAACGCTGGCGTCTGACCTGGCCTGGCTCTCTCTCTCGCCCACCAGGAGCTGGTCGGGCGCCCCCTGCAGGCTGTCCCGGGCGGAGTCCGAGCGCCGCTGCCGAGCACCTGGGCAGCCCCCGGGCACCGCCCTGTGCCATGGCCGGGGCCGGTGCGACTGCGGCGTCTGCATCTGCCACGTGACCGAGCCAGGCACGTACTTCGGGCCGCTGTGCGAGTGCCACGAGTGGGTCTGCGAGACCTACGACGGGAACACCTGCGCAGGTAAGGCGGGGAGGCCAGCTCTTCCAGGTGCGGCTTCTGCAGCTTTTTGGGAGCTAGCAGGGCGGACCCTCGCCTTGCTACAGAGAACGCCACGGACATTACTGCAATCAGCTGAGAGCTCATACTTTTTTTTTCTTGGCCAGGCATTTCTGGCAGTATTCATTGCAATACTTTTCTTTCCCTTGGGATTCAAACTTAGATGAAATAAAACTTGTAAGCTTCCTTCACTTAATTCTAAATTTCACTTGTCTCTATTTGAATTTCTTATTTTAAATTTCCAAGTGTCTTTGCAAATGAAGTTATTTTTTGAGCACCCCTACCCTCATCGAGAATATTAATCATAAGGTCTGAAGATTAAAAAAAAAACAACAAAAAACAAAAAACAAAACTGTGTGTTAGTTTCACCTTGGAGATGCATGGAGGTATTATTTTCCTCAATTCCAGGGGAGCAGATTTTGTCTTTAAGCTCTGTTTTGTCCTTTCACAATTAGGATATAATTCACAGACAAGGGTCTGCATATGAAACTGTAACACAGAAAAATAATCAGGAATACATCTACCTCAGCAGTTGTTCTTGTGTTGTTGTAGCTGCTAAAATTTGGAGTTGCCAAGAAATTTGGAATTTTATAAGGGTGGGGTAAAACACATTTATTTCCCTTGCACATTTTGAAGAAGTGATTTAGGGCCTGCTATTAGAAAGGGCCATTGATTTAAGGCCAAGAGCCTAGATTAATTTCTTGTGAGAGATACAAGAATTCCATTAGTAAAAGGACAACACAAGGCCTTCCAAGGAAGGTTTGGTGAATCAACATGGAAAAATAGTAACTTATTTTATCCTCGATGGAGCTAGGACCAAGATATCCAATAGTAACAGAGGGATCAAAACTGAGTTCATAGCAAAATATTTTTTCTTGGTGTCCAGGCCTAGGAATACATTGTGAGTGTTCTTCATATTCAGACTGTTGACATTGGCAAGAATTTTGGAGAAGTAATTTGGATATGAACAGGTGCATGTGTGTGGTTTGTTTACCTGGTGAAGGCTGAAGCTCAGCCTTTAAACGCGTCAATGACCACAACTTGTTATTTTAACTTTATCAGCCCATGAGCTGTGGAATTATGAAGGATAGCCCTTTGGAAGGAAAGCTAAGTAATGTCTAATATTTCATTCCAAATTCAATTGTTACTCAGCTTCTCTGGCTTTCATTACCTCTGGCAAGCCTTCCTTAATATCATGAGTTTTGAACAAATTTTCTTGGGCTTTTTCTATTGTTTCAACAGAAAATAAAGAAGCGGGAAGTGGCCTTCAGGTGGTGAACCCAGTGAGTGCCGTGAGGTGAACTGCCCTTCCTGTGGAGGACCGGAGCTGGTGTCCTCCCATGGAACTATGCAGAGGGGAGTCTTGGGGCTTCTCCTTCCCAGGAAGCCAATGGCTGTTTTCTCAAAGTCTTCCTCATGTCAGTCTGTCCTGATGCTAAATGCAGTACTGAGTCACCACCTACCCAGTTATGTTTGTTTTTGTGCATTTCTATAGGAAGCGAAACTCTCTTCATCTTAAGTTTGAATGAAATAATTCTTGCCTTGCAAACCAGTGCCTTTAGAGGCTTTTTGTGCAAAATATGCTTCTGCGATGCTTCGACCATGTTTGTTAGGCCCAGAAGAGATCTTTACTCAGCGCATAGACCTCCTCACCAACTTGTCCTGTGCTTGAGATTTAACTTCTTAATTGTTTTCCAAAAGAGTTCTAGCTTCATAACTAGAATGAAGATGTAGCAGATTCTTGTACATGCATTTGGGCCTTTGTCCCTGAGGTAAACCCCATAGATCCCTGTCAGAAATTGGGTAACATCTGCTACACAAGAAACGATAATCCTGTACTTACAGTGCATCAAAATATTGTGAGGTACATAGAGCCTGAGGGAAAATATACAAGATTCCAGTCAGGGTCCCACGAGCTGTGTGAACATGGGCAGTTACTTAACCATCTGAGCCTTGATTTCTTTATCTGTAAAACAGGATATCAACAGTGACTGCATTAGGCAATTGCTGGAAGATTTGATGTGTAGAAAAAAAAACACAGAATAATGTCTGATACAAAATGAGTTCATAGTGTGTATATATGTATAACATGCTGTTATTATAGTGCTGCACGAGAGGGCTCTGGCATGGATGGGTGCGTGGATAGATGAATGGCCAGGGAGCCAGATGATAGACAGACACAAGATAGCCTAGCCTAGTGGTTCTGGGCCATTGGACCCCAGTGAAGATTCCCAGCTATATGTCAGACATGATACAATGTATTTTAGTTATTGTATATTATTTGCGTTTATATATCTAAAAATCAATGTCTATAAGAATATGTAGTCCGAGTAAATACATAAATTATATGAATCATAAATTTATTTCTACACAAATATGGAAATTATTCTGAATATGAAGGCAGTGTGGTTTATTCCATGTAGTCTGGGTCTGTTATTGATTTAAGGCCCCAAAGGTCAAACAAGGATAACTGTTTTGGTCCTGCCTCGCAGCAGCTGTGTCAGGCACACTGTGCCTTTTAAGGTGCACTCCACTGGGATTCTCATACTGTGAATCATAAGAAATGTACTTATTTTGGTTTGAGCTGGTTGGAAGTGATTATGTTCATCCCATCCCAAGTCTGTTTCTTCTAGCGGCCGCTTGTTCATGGCACATGAGTCTTCCTCTAGCGTCCACAGCATAAAGGTCTGGCCCAGTGATTGCCCTTGGTATAAACTGCCTTTTAGGACAGGAAAGTTCTTGACTGCATGAACACAAACTTTTATCTAGAATTTTCAAAGCAGCCCCGGGTACCCCATAAACAGCTATGATTTTACTAAAACAAAAACAAAAGCATTGATTTCTTTGAAATATTTTTAAAAAGCTTTTGAAGTATGTCAGTCACTTAAGTATTCAGCTTTAGTAGTTGGGAACAGCTAAGTGCATTCAATTCAGCAAGTGCTTATGAAGTACTGTGTGTTAGCTGTTGAAACAGTCGTGGCTTAGATGGAGAATGTCTCCAGAGGCTTCATGCACTCACAGATGGGGCCTTCAGGAAGTCATGGGGTGACACAGCTGACTTCCTGTTGGGAGGTGGGGTCTGCTTACTGCAGGAATGGCTTCCAACATGCCTGTCCTGCCTTGGATCCAGCCAAGGAGAGATTGAAATAAACTTCTGTTTCTTTAAGCTATGGGTGTCAGGTATTGGCCCTGGAGATGAGACAGTGACTAAGACAAAGTGGATGGAAAGATGGTGACTATATGGCAGCTCACCGTTGAGTAGAGACTAAAAGAGATACCTTAATACGGTACCAGACATAGTTTTTGTACATTTCTATGAGAATTCTACGCAGGAACAGAATGCTACTTGTGTAGATTTTATACAAGTATTTAAGGATAAGGAGGCTTTTCATCTGAATAATGCACTATTGGAATTCAAGGTGAAGAAAACCCCAGGTTTAGGATCTGCTTTTTGGGGAACAGGGAAGAACAGCAGGTTGGCTTGTCTGGTTTTAGCCCTGTGGGAAATTACATCTGCTTAGAGTTAGAGTGAACGTATTGTGGAGACTTTTGAACTGAACACAAGTCTTTGCTTGTTTGTGCTACTGGTCATTGTATGCTCTACATTCCAGTCCCTTTTAGAAATTTAACATTTTGATACAGCTTCTTCTTAAGGCACTAAATTGCCCAGGCTAGGTTCAAACTTTCCGTCTTCCTTCTGCAGGCTCCTAGAGTGTAGGGATCACAGGCATGCATCACCACGCTCAGGGTCGATCCTGTTTCCTTAAACAGCATACATGAGCAATGAAGGTCTCAAATGTTGGAGTAACAGCGAATACTGGGATTGAGGAGCAGTCACAGGTGTCAAGGGTCAGAACCAGCTGGAGTAGACATTTGATGGGGAGAAGTCCAAGCTAGATTCTGTGTACATTTATGGTCCAGAGGACAGTGACTAGGACAGAACTAAGTTGGATTTTAAAGCCTGCTTAAAAGTGGAAGCTACACAGTTCAGTGCTCAAGGATGAGTAAGGTAATACATTAGAGCCAGTGCTGAGCTTGTAGACTGAGTGTTTGGTGCTGGAATGAATGGGTGAAGTGCAGATGGGAGAATGAGCCAGACCTGCATAATAAGGCATGAAGTTCTTATGAAAGGTCCTACATTTTAGCCTGGAATTGTTGAGTGGAGAATTAGTGCTACTAGAACACAACTCTGCTCATGGACCAACAGATTAGGGGCTGAAGGGGAATCTTAAATGAATTGTGAATTTGAGTTCACTTCTGTGTTGTTTACCTGGAGTCTGTTATTTGGTTTTCCTCAAATAGGATTATTAGAAAAAATCCCTGTGGATATGAGAAACCTTATATCATAACCATATTCAGACTAATTTCCATATTTTTGTACAAATTTATGATTCATATAATTTATACAATTTATTCAGACTACATATTTTATACACATTGATTTTTAGTTATATAAACAAATAATATACACTAACTGAAATAGATTCTTAACATATAACTGGGAATTTTTTTTTTCAGTGATTTCTGACTTTCACACTGTTAAGTAACTGTCATGGGAACGATATCACATTATCGTTGAGCCCTGGGCTTTCTGGCTGTTTCTCTGCTTTTTCTCTTCCACTGCATTTTTTTTCTTAGTTTGTTGAATTAATTCCTTCCAAGCTGTTTTGTGGAATCATTCTTTGGTTTTTCCTTTCTTAGTCGTTTTCTCTTTCTATCTTTGTCCCTCTCTGTCAGTCTTATCCTCTGTGACTCGTCACTTCTTGGTCCCTGTGTAGCCCCTGTGGACCTAGCCCCTCCCCTTTCCCTGTCCCTAGGTGCCTCCACTTAGATGTAAAGGCAGGAGCACCTGAGAACGCTGGGAGCCCTCAGCTCTCCCCTGCAGTAAGCAAGCCTCCTGAGCACAAGCGCGCACTGGGTTTTATTCTGCCTCCTTGTATGTGTGTCCATCGCTGCCTTAGCGT